ACGCGCGGCAGTTTAAATTCAAAAAGGCTATTACATTGGCCTATAAACATATATAGGCCTATAGGCCACATTCTAGTAGTGTCTTCAGGGCCCCATAATGAATTCATAGAATATTCTGTATAGATGCACCTACGCTCGAAATAAACTCAACTTTTTGCCAACACTAGGCCCCTAGACGCAATGACGTGTGATGCAGTCCTAGGGTTAAATGGCTATTATATGCTTTTAGACTGTTAATAAATACTTTAAATTAAATTGAACTCATGGAGAAATTATGCATAAGCCTACAAAGAATCCTAAGAATTGCATACTACAAATAAACTGGATTAATTGGATTAGTATTGTGGAACGAAATTCAATTTCATCCACCCGAAACTGCTTTCAAGCATCCACTCCCACATTCAAGGCAGTTTATTCATGGCATGGAATTTGCAACAATAGCTGGTCGGGCGCTTAGAGAGATTCCGCTCCATGGAGCGACTCCTGGGGTAGTCTGATGCATATGTTGCCACTGACGTCTAGAATGCAACTTCATTGCAATTAAACACTCAATTTGCAGACTCTCCCGGAATGTTTGCAAATGAAATTTGGGCAAAGGTAAAGTTTGTGCGCCGCCAGGCAATGGGAGCATCAGGGAGGACGATCTGGGACTGGATCTGGATCTAGGAGACGGGGACAGAGACAGAGACAGCGTCAACAAAAGTCGCAAAACAAATAGCAAAAGCAAAATGGCGCCCCACAACTTTTAGCTTGGTTAAGGGAGTTTCTCCCATCTAAAGACGCTGACATTGCGCATTTGCCGTAGATTATTACAAAAGTTTAAATACACAGACAGATACAGTCGACCCAGGGAACTCCTCTCGTGATTATAGTGCCGGAATATACTCTCTATCTCTTGGAGCCCTCAGGTGTTGTGACTGGCGAGGAGGCCCCGGTCCCGGCCCCGGCCCCGGTATCGACCTCAGCCTCGGTCCCCTGCATCACTGGTGGCCACCAAGACCAAATCCAAGCTGACACTCAAGGAGTTGAACGGAGAGCTGGAGTTGAGGTTGATGCTTTTAAATAGCCTTGGCAGTTGCACTTGTTTCCACACTTTTCCCCAAGGAGTTTCGCTTTTCCCTCTGATGGCAGAGAAAGAGAAATTGTGCAGGATAGTCTGTACATACATATGTCATCAGACCGCAAATTGTTTGGCCAGCAGTTTATTAGAGCCAGACAGATTGTTCTTTAGATTGCGAATTTATAAACTTGGAACGTGTTGCGGGTAAGTTTTATTGCTGGAGTTTTCGAATAGCAATCGATACGTCACTTTCTGGATATGTATTCTTCTTCTATTAACATCTCCATGTGTCAGTACTTTTTCATGTCTATATACAAAAATATATCCTCTTAACTTTATTCCACCTTTCAGCAGAAAGGCAGCGCAATCCTTCATTAACTTTCTTTTCCAATGGACGGAAGCACCTCCTTCCTTTTCACTTTGTGTATCTTTCATCTCGTGTCGCCGCCGTCGAAAACACATCTGTAATTCTGCTTACATCCCCACAATTTCCTGGCTTTCTGTGATGTGTCTGTTGGTGGCGTTTGCTTTCGTTTTAATTTGGCAGCCCGCATAATTTTGCTATGATTTGCACTTCTTAATTAATTATTTTTCGTTTTCGTTACCAAAAGCGGATTTGAAGAAGCTGTGTCAGCACCCGCACCCCCGCACACTCGCACCACCGCCGCCCCCCCTCACGCACATGGGACAAGACTTCCACATAGAAAAACTTCGGGAAAAACTTTCTCCCTCATTCCCCATACATACATATATACACACATGCACGCACACACATAGAAACAAAGAAAGGGTTGATAGCCGGAAGAGAAGGCAATCCGAGAAATTCTTTCCTTTGTTTAGGCTATGAGGCAAGAAATTTGCTGAAAATTCTCGTATCTTGATGTCCTTTTAGATGAATGCAGTTAAGTGAAAAATTCCCATTTAGTTTACCCTTCAAGGGATATGTACATACACACAATACTTAGATATATGTACATACATAGTACCCGTACATGCCCGTACAAACAACCTATATTCCCAGGGTATTTCAATTCATTTCTTCCCTATATTGTGGCACCTTTGACACACGCTGCTGCGTATGCGTAATATCGACAAAAATCAATGCAATAATCCCCATTCATTGGAAAAGGCTTAGCTCAGCGAAATCCCCCAAGCTCATTGCAATTGACAGGAACCAAAGCGGCGCCAGAACCAGCCAGAACCAGCCAGGACCAACCAGGACCAGACATCTCGCAGCTTTTTGTTTCATTGGCCATGGCAGGAGCGCTTTTTTCTATTAGTTCTGATTAAGCTTCGCCCCGCGTCGTTCCATTGTGACATGTCAATTGCATTTGGTTTTGGTTTTGGTTTTAGCGTGAATGCAAATTGGTCTCGTCTCCCTATCGCCCGCGAAGCTTCGACAGCCGCTCATTATTTAGACGCTTAACCACGCATCGCTTTGCATTACGAGATTAAAGTTTCGATGCAGAGAGCAAACGCCACCTGGCTTACGGAAATTGAAAATTTCACGCGAGAACGCGATTTCTTCTGGTTTTTGAGGGTGCCAAATGTCAAAGTGGCATCAGCCACACCCAGCAACCCACAACCACGCAGCACACGCAGAAGAATCCGGCATTCGACAACTCCATCTCCATCTCCATTGGCATCTCCCATCGCCATCAGCCCATCGCTGTGGTGCCACATCTCTCATCCATCCATTGCCGGGGCATGTAAATTGCTCTGGCAAACAAATCACGTACTCCGTATACCAAACGCCGTGCAATGCGCGTCGCTCTCATTCTCCGTGCTCGTTCTCTCGTCCTCGTTCTCGCTCCTCTTCTCGTCATATCAAATGCCAGCAAAGGCTGCAGGATTTTTGCGGTCTGTAGCTGAAAGGCTAAGCAACCGCATTGAGTGACTGAGTGCCGTTATTTGGCCATGTCCGTTACCCACACTCCTCCCCGCACTGATCCAAAAGGGGCCTAAGCAACCGCAACCGAGAACGGGTTCGACAAACGTCTCGTTCGCTTTGTCTGCTCGGTTTTACTTTTTTTTTACCACCATAGGAGCATACGATTCGATGGTAAAGTCCTTTAAGAATTTAGTCAGCGGTGTGTGTGTTTCCTGGATATCAAGCAGATATCGAAATGAGCAATGCGTGATATTAGATAGGCATCGAATGGACGAGGACATTCGTGAAAATTTAATGTGAGAACGAGAACAAGCAAACCTAAAAGGTAACATATTCTACATAATATCCCTATCTCCATCTACAAATACTTATCTATGCATTTATTGAATAATCGCATCTTCTAATGGACCGCAGCGCAGCCGCAAATAAGCCGCGAAAACATGGTGCAGAACATAATGAAAAAGTCTTGGTAATTACTCGAAAATATGCATTAAAAACTTTTGACCCGTAATGAAGAAGTACGGCTTGAAGAAGCCCGCCAGAACTTGATATTGGATCAATTAAAAGAAAAACTCGACAAGGCAATGATGCAACAAATTAAAACGCATACGAAGCGGGCTGGCTAATGAAATTCTAAGATTTAGAGATGGTTAGGCAAAAGCCATCCGCTCCAGTCCGCCACCCAAAGAAAGGAGAGTAATGGGGAAGTTGAAGAGTTCGTAGGTACTTTTTCTATAGACAAGGGCGGAAATTACCGAAAAATTGTGCCGAGCAGATGAGCAACAACAATAAACTTGGCCCGAAAATTAAGGCAAGTGGAGTTAAAAGTTAAGCCAACAAATGAAGATGAGGATGGAAATGGAAATGGGAGCGGGAGCGGTACCGGGAACGGCAGCGGGATAAGATGGGAAGAGGATTGCGGTAGAGCTGGCTCGTGGGTCCGGACGTATGGCCTATACGCATACACTAGCACATGTGTGTGAGCATACGCACACATAGACGGATGTGGACCCAACTTCAAGCGCAATTTTCCGCAACAACAAAAAGTTTAATTGAGGATAAACTTTGCTGCGTTTGCGCTGCTGTTGAAAATCAACCAACGTCGACATGGAAAATTCCCAGCCAGAAAGTACGGGGTGTGCGGAGGAGAGTAGAGCGAGAAATTGCGTGTATGTTTTTCTCTTATCTCTTTGGCTGTTTAAGTTTTCGCTTTCTACTTTGCATTACTTTCCCAATTTCCTTTTTTCCTGTCGTTTGCTGCTGTCGGAAAACTTGAAGTTGAAAATTCTGTTAAAAGGGAGCATAGAAATTATTTTAACATTTATTGGTCATTCAATGCGCTTCGCTTCCTTCATTGTTTGCCAAAGCCAAATGAATGGCCAATGCCGATGAAAAGGGAATGAAAAACGATTTGCCATAGGAGCAGGAGCTGGAGCAGGTGACCCCCCATAACCTGGTGACCCACCACCACCACCCAAAACCATTCACCCACCGGTACACCGACTCATGTGCCATAATTCGTTCTAAGAAACGTAGACGGGGCCACTGTGCTGTGGGACAATGGAACACAAATGACCCGAATAAGACCCGACGACGCGACACAAACGATTGACTCTACATGGTCCTTCCATAAGGGGGAGCACAGAGGTGGGGTTTCGACTTTAGAGCAAAGTGGAGGAAAGAATGATGAAAACTAAAAGTGCCGAGGTTCGCAGTTGAATGCTCTTCCTTCACTTCCATAGAGGATCCTGAGCAGCAGTCCACAGTAGTCTGGCAAATGATAATTCAATTTCAATTGAATGCTTTTCCAAATAATTAATCTATAAAACAGATTGAATAGAATTTAGATTTTTGCTGTTACTTTTACTTATGCTGCGGGATAAATTTTTCTTCGAGGATACTCTCTCTCTCTCTCTCTGTCTCTCTGAAAACCAGCCCAATCTTGTGGCCTGAACAAACAATGGGAGCAATTTTTTTTCACCAATTTAAACGATTTTTATTATGGGCTATCAGTCATTGAACACACATGGGACGGTTTGTTGGTTAATTCTACCACAGGGCGGGCGCTGCATAGTTCAGTGGTGCTGGTGCATAGGCCAAGGGAGCCGAGTATTTGGCAATGACAGGTGTACCATAGGGATGGGCGAAGGGAGCAGCGTAGGCAGCTCCAAAGGAAGCGGTATATTGAGCTGCAAAGGGTGCCGGCACTGGACCTGTCACAGTTCGGACAATGGGAGCCGGCAAAGGAGCAGCAGCCAGAGGTGCAGCAAAAGGAGCTGCAACAGTCCTAACGACTGGAACTGGTGCGGGAGCCACGGGGACTTGGGCAATCACTGGAGCCGTCGCAATGCCATTGAAGGTCCTGGCCACCACCTGACTGCTGGCTGCAGTCACAACGGGAGCAGGAGCTGCAAACAGGGGAGCGGCCAGTGGAGCATGGAGTAGTCCCGGCTTGGCGGCCACACAGGCAATCAGAGCGCAGATGACAACGGCCTGTATAAGATATAGAAATTCCATTAGTTAGTCATCAAAAACCTAACAAAAATGTGAATCTTACGTATTTGAACATTGTTGAGGGTACTTTGGTGTATTTTTCTGGGCTGGTTGGGTTTTGTAGGGTGGAGAGCGAAGCGCTGACTGATGACAAGTGGAGGCAGCCACTGGCATATTTATACCAAAACGTGGGCGAGTCGGTGGCTACTTGAAATTCTGGTGGCAACGTGACCATTGGCCCATTATAAGTGTCGGCAAATATTAGTTGGTGGTTGGTGGTTCGTTGGTTTGATTAGGTCTTTGAGGGACAGCATAAAACCCGAAGGGCAGCCAAATATCGTACTTGGACTGATGCAGTCAGTCAGTAAGTCTGGCTTACTTGTATTGGAAGAGCAGGGATTGTGCATTGTTGATTTCAGGGGGAATTTACCGCATTTACCTCATTTGGTTGATGACAGGCATATGAAGAAAAAAGTAGGTTAATCGGAAAGGAAAAATGCTGTTTCCCAGCTGAGGCTTCCTTTGGTTGGGCCGCCTTCTACCTACTCGATATTTATTTTCTGCCATCTCTAAAATGTAACAAAATAGTGATAACAATAATTCAAGTGAAAATATCTCACCCATGGACCCTTTGTCTTTGGCCCGAGGCGAACATAGAGCGAGAGAGACCTGTTGGCAGTCCCATGGAACCTGGCCAATTAAGCACTTTGAGCACGTCCCTGGCCACAAACGTTGGTCAGCAGAAAGTACACACACATGAATGACTCTTGGACGGAATTCGACTCTATAGCTGGAGACATTACAATATGGCTTATTTGCACAATTTGGGTCAAGGTTGGATGCGGTTTTAAGGTAGTTGACTGACCTTTTGGGGTTTGTTTAGAAAACGTTACAACAAATAGCTTAATTTATACCGAAAGTCAATAAAAGAAAAGAAAGAAGGTGCTTATTCGGGAAACAGCAATCAGATGGCAACATTATTTTTGACTGCCACAAGGGTTAGACCCTTGTGAATAAAAATGGTAGACCGCTGCTCTTCTTTTTCATTGGAAATTTCAATTTGTTTCATATTTCATTAAATCAAATCATGATTAATCGAGAATGATGCTAAAAATCTCTTTTTTTTAAAGGTGGCATTACCATTCTGTCGTTATGTGACAATTGTAGGATAAAATGTAAAAAACAACATAATGAAAAAATCAAATTTTGAAAGGGTTTTATTTATGTTTGCATGGTAATTAAACAACTCAATATTCGGCAAAAAAAAGGACCACAATCGAATGTACGGGCTTAAAGATATAAGCCATAATATGAGCTGACGCTACGTTACCAAATTGCAAAGCTCTGCGAAGTGAGTCGGACATAACATTTTTGTACTAATATATAAAATATTTTCTGCTCATTTTCCAAGCTGTTATATGGAAAAACGTTTCCCGTTTTTCTTTCTATCTAATCAGCGGAGGTAGCTGACGAATGTTACTGGCGTTAAGCTCGAAAATTCTTGGGTAATAAAGGTACACAAATATACCGCTAGGATTTTTTGATATAGTTCAATATTTTAGAGATATTTTGTGGAGGAACTTTAATAAAGATTCATCTTGATTCCCTGACTTGGCTTCACCTTTAACTGTAAATTCTTTACTTTGTCTATTTGTTGCACTTCATAAACGCGTAGATATGCACAGATATAGCCACGCAACTAAAACAGCGCACTTATTACAGCTAGCCGTAGAGGCGTGCGCTCTGAATGCTAATTTCCTGCGGGCCCTTCGTCACGTTCGCTTGACGATTTGCTATAAAAATAAATCGAATACGATGGCCGGGCATCAAACACATTTTCGCTCTTCAAGCAACCACAAACGCAAGCCGAAGAATTACTATGTTCAAATACGTAAGTGGTGTAGAGCATTCTCCTGAACATTAGAACATCATCTTATTCCGTCTTACTAGGTGGCTGTCGTTTTTGCTCTGGTCGCCTGCGTTGCCGGCAAGCCAGGAGTGCTCCTCCCGGCTCCACTGTCCGCTGTGCCCGCCCCACTGCTTGCTGCGCCTGCTCCCGTTGTAACCGCCACCAGCAGCCAGGTGGTGGCCAGGAACTTCAATGGCATTGCTGCGGCTCCCGTGATTGCCCCTCTGCCGGTTGCAGCTCCAGTTCCGATTGCCACACGCCTCATCTCGCCCATTGGGGCTCCTCTGATTGCCAAGTATGCTGCCACTGCGCCATTGCCCTTCACAACACCCTTGGGCTATGCCGCAGCCCCTCAACCAATTTTTTTTTAAGGCGTTCCTCTGTGATAATTTAATAATATTTTTAAAATAAATATAAAGCTCTATAGGAAACAAAACTGCTTTGAATTCATCTTGCGCCAACTGCGCTGGCGACGTGGAGTCGTCAGAGTATCCCTCGACCTAATAATAATTCCCAGCAAAAGAGGAAAGGCCCACCCCCGCCTTCATCCAATTGCTGATTTCTAGACATTTTTCGCCAGTGAAGATCATTTTACACGGTGCGACTGTCACATTTTGGTATTAAAAAGCTCATGACCACGGGCGAATGAAGAAGTTTGCTCGCTTCCTTTTGGCATGCAATGGGTCAGAGACCAGAAAATGAATATCCTATTTCCAAGGTCACAGGTCACCCTTCGACCTTGACATTATTGCAAGTTGTGTACAAAGCTGACCAAATAAAATTACACCGAAAAACAAATCAATTTCGGACAATTGAATGTAACGAACAATGGACACCAGCTGCCGACCATGCTGACAATGATTTTTATGTCATTTACGTGACTTGCATTAGATAAAATTCGAGCTGGAGAGCGTTTTTAAGGCCTTTGTTTAAGTGCTACCGTTAAATCCAATTAGTAAAGACTGAAGTCCTTCCCAAAAAGTAGCAAAGTCGAAGTTTCTTAAATTCTGATTTCGTTTATTGAAAGGTTCTTAAAAAAGGACCGGGGCGTTATAGGCCAGAGGAGCTGAGTAACCCAGAGGACTAGCCAGAGGCGCTGAGTACGCAATGGGAGCTGAGTGGTAGGCCAAAGGAGCGGCTAGAGGGGCAGCGGCATACTTGGCGAGCACTGGAGCAGCCAAAGGAGCAGCCAAAGGAGCAGCCAAAGGAGCAGCCAAAGGAGCAGCGACTGGAGCGATCACGGGAGCAGCAGCAACTCCATTGTAGTTCCTTGCAAACACCTGGCTACTGGTGGCGGTGACAACAGGAGCTGGTGCAGCAACGACAGCGGCAGGAATGGCGTTGTAGGCCAGAGGAGCAGCAAGGAAGCCGGGCTTGGCAGAAGCGCAGGCCAGGATGGCGAGGATGACGGCAGCCTGTATGTGGAAGAGAAAGACGTTGCTCAATGTCGGCTCATCCAGCATTCTTTCAAGAAAAGCTTACGTATTTGAACATCTTGGTCTTGCTTCTTCGAGGGATGATTGCGTTTGATACTGTCACTGCCGTTAGCTCTGCTTATTTATACCCAAAGTCTGTCTGCAGCTTTGACTTATGTCCACAACGAGTACGAGTACGCTTATGTGGTTCATTTAAATGCCACGCCTGGCCCGCTTCACTTGCACTTTGTGGTGTTTATGGTGTTTCCCCCTCTTGAATGTACAGCGCTTCGAATTGGCCACTAAATGCGAGGTCGAAGTCGGAGTTTGAGTCAGTCGGAGTCCCGTCTTGTATCCATGGTATAAATACCGCCCGGGATGGTGTTAGGCGACATCAGACAAGTTCAAGTTCCCGAGCTGCTCACAACATTCCAACAAAATGTTCAAATTCGTGAGTATGCAATTTGAAAGACTAAGAGTCCGTTACCTAATCGATTTCCATCCGCAGGCTGCTGTCATCCTCGCCGTCCTGGCCTGTGCCTCTGCGAAGCCCGGCTTCCTGAGTGCTCCTCTGGCGTACACTGCGCCTGCCGCCATCGTAGCTGCTCCTGGTCCTGTTGTTACCGCCACCAGTAGCCAGGTGTTTGCAAGGAACTACAATGGAATTGCTGCTGCTCCCGTGATCGCTCCAGTTGCTGCTCCTTTGGCCGCTCCAGTGATCGCCAAGTATGCCGCTGCTCCTTTGGCCGCTCCAGTGATCGCCAAGTATGCCGCTGCCCCTCTGGCCACTCCTTTGGCCTACCACTCGGCTCCCCTAGCCTACTCATCGTCTCTGGCCAGTCCTCTGGGTTACTCAGCCCCTCTGACCTATAACACCTATGGCGCCCTTCATGCCCCCGCACCGGTCCTGTTTTAAGAACCTTTCAATAAACGAAATCCGAATTTAAGAAACTTTGACTTTGCTGCTTTTTGGAAAGGACTGCAATCTGTACTAATTGGATTTTAATGTGGAATTTAAACAAAGGCCCTAAGACCCATGGACCTCAAATAAGAGTTATAAAAGCAAGTTGAAATAAATCAATCAATTGGAGGGAAATATGTTACGGAAACATGGAGTGAACCAAAATTGCTATTTTAACTGTACCTAGCGATACCAGACAAACCGTTTGGCAGTTTTTAGTACATCAGTTTTTATGTTATTTTTTTCTTTACAATTATATTGTTATATCTCTCTTCTTCTCAGAGTGCGCACACTGCACGAGGAAAGGTGTATGAGAGAGAGAGGGAGAGCGCATGCAAGGGATTGGTAGCCACTGCAATTTCATTTGTTTCTTCTGGTTATAAGGATCCGATGCTACCGATCTTATCCAATCTGGTTATTCTCTCTGAATTATCTGAAAGGACGGAGGGCGGACGAAAATGCTTCCTTCTGGGTGTTACACACATTCGTTGTCACCACAAATCGTATATACCCCTAAACTCGTTGAGTATCGGGTAGTAGTATTTATTGGCAAAGTAATTACCAATCCAAAATACCAAACATAAAATACTACAAAATAAATAAAATACTACATTCAATACTTTAGGCGATTTTTACAAAATATGGCTAGAGGTCACGATGACAGTGAAAGCAATGAAAACCCCACCCAGTACGCAGAAAGCGTACAGACTTTAAGGCCCAATGAATTTCCACTTCAGCCATCTATGTATTTGGATCCAAGTATACGGCGGGTTTTACTTCAAAATCCAACTCAATTGATGTGTGCAAGAAATCATTTCAATAAATTTTTTAGACAAATGAAAGGTGTTGCAAAAAAAGTAAGTACGTGTGGGAGTTTCTTAAATTCGGATTTCGTTTATTGAAGGGTTCTTACAAAAGGACCGGTGCGGGGGCATGAAGGGCGCCATAGGTGTTATAGGTCAGAGGAGCTGAGTAACCCAGAGGACTAGCCAGAGGAGCTGAGTAAGCAAGGGGAGCCGAGTGGTAGGCCAAAGGACTGGCCAGAGGGGCAGCGGCATACTTGGCGATCACTGGAGCGGCCAAAGGAGCAGCGGCATACTTGGCGATCACTGGAGCGGCCAAAGGAGCAGCAACTGGAGCGATCACGGGAGCAGCAGCAATTCCATTGTAGTTCCTTGCAAACACCTGGCTACTGGTGGCGGTAACAACAGGACCAGGAGCAGCTACGATGGCGGCAGGCGCAGTGTACGCCAGAGGAGCACTCAGGAAGCCGGGCTTCGCAGAGGCACAGGCCAGGACGGCGAGGATGACAGCAGCCTGCGGATGGAAATCGATTAGGTAACGGACTCTTAGTCTTTCAAATTGCATACTCACGAATTTGAACATTTTGTTGGAATGTTGTGAGCAGCTCGGGAACTTGAACTTGTCTGATGTCGCCTAACACCATCCCGGGCGGTATTTATACCATGGATACAAGACGGGACTCCGACTGACTCAAACTCCGACTTCGACCTCGCATTTAGTGGCCAATTCGAAGCGCTGTACATTCAAGAGGGGGAAACACCATAAACACCACAAAGTGCAAGTGAAGCGGGCCAGGCGTGGCATTTAAATGAACCACATAAGCGTACTCGTACTCGTTGTGGACATAAGTCAAAGCTGCAGACAGACTTTGGGTATAAATAAGCAGAGCTAACGGCAGTGACAGTATCAAACGCAATCATCCCTCGAAGAAGCAAGACCAAGATGTTCAAATACGTAAGCTTTTCTTGAAAGAATGCGGGATATGCCGACATTGAGCAACGCGTTTTCTCTTCCACATACAGGCTGCCGTCATCCTCGCCATCCTGGCCTGCGCTTCTGCCAAGCCCGGCTTCCTTGCTGCTCCTCTGGCCTACAACGCCATTCCTGCCGCTGTCGTTGCTGCACCAGCTCCTGTTGTCACCGCCACCAGTAGCCAGGTGTTTGCAAGGAACTACAATGGAGTTGCTGCTGCTCCCGTGATCGCTCCAGTCGCTGCTCCTTTGGCTGCTCCAGTGCTCGCCAAGTATGCCGCTGCCCCTCTAGCCGCTCCTTTGGCCTACCACTCAGCTCCCATTGCGTACTCAGCGCCTCTGGCTAGTCCTCTGGGTTACTCAGCTCCTCTGGCCTATAACGCCCCGGTCCTTTTTTAAGAACCTTTCAATAAACGAAATCAGAATTTAAGAAACTTCGACTTTGCTACTTTTTGGGAAGGACTTCAGTCTTTACTAATTGGATTTAACGGTAGCACTTAAACAAAGGCCTTAAAAACGCTCTCCAGCTCGAATTTTATCTAATGCAAGTCACGTAAATGATATACAAATTATTTTCAGCATAGACCGCAGCTGGTGTCCATTGTTCGTTAGATTCAATTGTACGAAATTGATTTGTTTTTCGGTGTAATTTTATTTGGTCAGCTTTCGGTAAGCTGCTACAATAATGTCAAGGTCGAAGGGTTACCTGTGACCTTAAAAATAAGATCAGACAATTCATTTTTTTGGTTTTGATATTCAGTTCGATGAATGCCGTTGGGGGCTTTGATAGCCATCAAGCAGCGAAGAGCCTTATTTTTCGCCCACTGGCAGCAAACTGGCCTGCCCAAACCTCGTCGATGCAGTCCCGTTCAATCAACGACTGCTTCTCCTTTTCGGAATTTTCTTTGTTCAGGTACACATCTCTAAGTGCACATTCGTAAGGAGCATTCCTTGCCTCAGTGTCGAATTTTTCCTTTCCCTTGTACCTAAGTGTTTCTTACCTTTAGTTTCTTAAGGATTTTTTAAATATAATTTGCTTTTTAAATACCGGTTTTTTATTTTTGGTGGCATATAATGTTGTCGGTCTGTAGTCCTACCAATTTGAGCCGTCATTCATGGACAGTTGCCTTTTTTAAACGCTGTAAGGGCTCGAATTGTATTCCAAAGGGATTTGGATTCAAATGGGACTTAAATCCGGACTTATTGCAGGCCACTGAATAAAAGGGTATTTTCGACTCCAGAAACGTCATCGTATATACTATATAGCATACTATATAAGATCATATATCTCCGCAGATAATACTCATCCTCGAATTTGTGCATCTTATCTTTTATATATATTTTTCTCATTGTTAAAATCATAATTGCTATTCGTGCTAATAAAAATTCAATTACAGCCTCGCACTCCGATTGAATTGACAAAATATCCCCCTGGTTAATTATTTTGTGGAAGTCATCTATTTTCGTCGCTGCCGACAGTGCAGTTGAAATCGGTGTCAATGGGCCCTTGTTCAATATTTCACTACGAACAGGCATGAAGCTTTAGAAAGTTCATTGGACTTTAAAAACCATTTGCGGCCCTGCGACCTTGGCCCAATTAAACTTTCGTGCAAAAAACAACCTGACAAACGAAACTCTTTGGGCACTCTTGAACGTCACGCATCCAGCGGCGACCACCAGTGACTAATAACTCGTCCGCTGGCTACGTGAGCTGCATGCACACGGGGAAAACGGAGTGCCGTGCATATGGACAGTGGCTCCCGTCTTGTTTGCGATTCACCCTAGACAGCTGATGATTCACTTAAGAATGTCCCCGCCATGTGAAAAGCTGGTAATTATGGATTCAACGATTTGTATTGTTTATTCTAGATTCTTACAACAGAACCGGTGCGGGGGCAGAAAATGCGTTATAGGTGTTATGGACCAAAGGGGATGAGTAACCCAGAGGACTAGCCAGAGGCGCTGAGTACGCAAGGGGAGCTGAGTGGTAGGCCAAAGGAGCGGCCAAAGGAGCAGCGGCATACTTGGCGAGCACTGGAGCAGCCAAAGGAGCAGCGGCTGCAGCGATCACGGGAGCAGCAGCAACTCCATTGTAGTTCCTTGCAAACACCTGGCTACTGGTGGCGGTGACAACAGGAGCTGGTGCAGCAACGACAGCGGCAGGAATGGCGTTGTAGGCCAGAGGAGCAGCAAGGAAGCCGGGCTTGGCAGAAGCGCAGGCCAGGATGGCGAGGATGACGGCAGCCTGTATGTGGAAGAGAAAGACGTTGCTCAATGTCGGCTCATCCAGCATTCTTTCAAGAAAAGCTTACGTATTTGAACATCTTGGTCTTGCTTCTTCGAGGGATGATTGCGTTTGATACTGTCACTGCCGTTAGCTCTGCTTATTTATACCCAAAGTCTGTCTGCAGCTTTGACTTATGTCCACAACGAGTACGAGTACGCTTATGTGGTTCATTTAAATGCCACGCCTGGCCCGCTTCACTTGCACTTTGTGGTGTTTATGGTGTTTCCCCCTCTTGAATGTACAGCGCTTCGAATTGGCCACTAAATGCGAGGTCGAAGTCGGAGTTTGAGTCAGTCGGAGTCCCGTCTTGTATCCATGGTATAAATACCGCCCGGGATGGTGTTAGGCGACATCAGACAAGTTCAAGTTCCCGAGCTGCTCACAACATTCCAACAAAATGTTCAAATTCGTGAGTATGCAATTTGAAAGACTAAGAGTCCGTTACCTAATCGATTTCCATCCGCAGGCTGCTGTCATCCTCGCCGTCCTGGCCTGTGCCTCTGCGAAGCCCGGCTTCCTGAGTGCTCCTCTGGCGTACACTGCGCCTGCCGCCATCGTAGCTGCTCCTGGTCCTGTTGTCACCGCCACCAGTAGCCAGGTGTTTGCAAGGAACTACAATGGAATCGCTGCTGCTCCCGTGATCGCTCCAATTGCTGCTCCTTTGGCTGCTCCAGTGCTCGCCAAGTATGCCGCTGCCCCTCTGGCCAATCCTTTGGCCTACCGCTCGGTTCCCCTGGCTTACTCCGCGCCTCTCTTCCTGTAAAACTGCACATTACGTCTTGAATAAACGTCTCTCGGTTACTGATTAGCGCCTGAACTGCCAACGCTTCTTGTTTCCGCTTTCCTCCGCCCCACACACACATGTACGTGATCCCGTTCTGGTTATTTGTTAG